TGCATCCGGCGGCTGGTGCGGTTTGTGATGGCGTGGGAGGAACCAGAACTCGCTCGTATTTCTATGCGTCGTTTTTTTTGAAGTGGGCATTATTGAGGCTCTCTGGGAGCGTCTTGGGAGGCTCTTCTTAGGTTCTTCTTTGGGCGTCTTTGGAGACCCTTGGGGCCCCCTTGGACCGACTGGGGAAGTGTGGGTTTGGGCATTCTTGGGCCCCCTTCTGGATCGTCTGGGAGCGTTGGGCCGTCTTGTGCCCTTTTGGAGGCCATCAGGTGCTCTGTTGAAGCCCTCTTGAAACCTCTTTGACCGGGCTGGGGATGTGGTGGTCTCCCTTCTGGGGGCGTATTGGGGCTTTCTTGAGCGCCCCAGGTGACATCTTGACCATCTCAAGCCGACAGGCGTTGGAGTCAAAGCACGTCGACATTGCCTGACTCTGAAGTCTTGACCTTCTCTTGGGACAACTGGATCCTCTCTTTGTATTTCCTTCCCAACCATCCTGTGGTGTTGGGTCCCCGTTTTGACGAGATAGTGCCCCGCGTTCCGCTCCTCTCCCCTTCCTTCTCCTCCTCCTCCTCTTCCTCCTCCTCCCCTTCCTCCTTTCACATCATCATTATCTTCATTACCATCACCTTCACCATCACCATCGTCATCATCACCACCACCACCATCATCATCACCCAACTTGCATCCGGCGGCTGGTGCGGTTTGTGATGGCGTGGGAGGAACCAGAACTCGCTCGTATTTCTATGCGTCGTTTTTTTTGAAGTGGGCATTATTGAGGCTCTCTGGGAGCGTCTTGGGAGGCTCTTCTTGGGTTCTTCTTTGGGCGTCTTTGGAAACCCTTGGGGCCCCCTTGGACCGACTGGGGAAGTGTGGGTTTGGGCATTCTTGGGCCCCCTTCTGGATCGTCTGGGAGAGTTGGGCCGTCTTGTGCCCTTTTGGAGGCCATCAGGTGCTCTGTTGAAGCCCTCTTGAAACCTCTTTGACCGGGCTGGGGATGTGGTGGTCTCCCTTCTGGGGGCGTATTGGGGCTTTCTTGAGCGCCCCAGGTGACATCTTGACCATCTCAAGCCGACAGGCGTTGGAGTCAAAGCACGTCGACATTGCCTGACTCTGAAGTCTTGACCTTCTCTTGGGACAACAGGATCCTCTCTTTGTATTTCCTTCCCAACCATCCTGTGGTGTTGGGTCCCCGTTTTGACGAGACAGTGCCCCGCGTTCCGCTCCTATCCCCTTCCTTCTCCTCCTCCTCCTCTTCATCCTCCTCCCCTTCTTCTTTCACATCATCATTATCTTCATTACCATCACCTTCACCATCACCATCGTCATCATCACCACCACCACCATCATCATCACCCAACTTGCATCCGGCGGCTGGTGCGGTTTGTGATGGCGTGGGAGGAACCAGAACTCGCTCGTATTTCTATGCGTCGTTTTTTTTGAAGTGGGCATTATTGAGGCTCTCTGGGAGCGTCTTGGGAGGCTCTTCTTGGGTTCTTCTTTGGGCGTCTTTGGAGACCCTTGGGGCCCCCTTGGACCGACTGTGGAAGTGTGGGTTTGGGCATTCTTGGGCCCCCTTCTGGATCGTCTGGGAGAGTTGGGCCGTCTTGCCATTTCCGCTCCTCTCCCCTTCCTTCTCCTCCTCCTCCTCTTCCTCCTCCTCCCCTTCTTCTTTCACATCATCATTATCTTCATTACCATCACCTTCACCATCACCATCGTCATCATCACCACCACCACCATCATCATCACCCAACTTGCATCCGGCGGCTGGTGCGGTTTGTGATGGCGTGGGAGGAACCAGAACTCGCTCGTATTTCTATGCGTCGTTTTTTTTGAAGTGGGCATTATTGAGGCTCTCTGGGAGCGTCTTGGGAGGCTCTTCTTGGGTTCTTCTTTGGGCGTCTTTGGAGACCCTTGGGGCCCCCTTGGACCGACTGGGGAAGTGTGGGTTTGGGCATTCTTGGGCCCCCTTCTGGATCGTCTGGGAGCGTTGGGCCGTCTTGTGCCCTTTTGGAGGCCATCAGGTGCTCTGTTGAAGCCCTCTTGAAACCTCTTTGACCGGGCTGGGGATGTGGTGGTCTCCCTTCTGGGGGCGTATTGGGGCTTTCTTGAGCGCCCCAGGTGACGTCTTGACCATCTCAAGCCGACAGGCGTTGGAGTCAAAGCACGTCGACATTGCCTGACTCTGAAGTCTTGACCTTCTCTTGGGACAACTGGATCCTCTCTTTGTATTTCCTTCCCAACCATCCTGTGGTGTTGGGTCCCCGTTTTGACGAGATAGTGCCCCGCGTTCCGCTCCTCTCCCCTTCCTTCTCCTCCTCCTCCTCTTCCTCCTCCTCCCCTTCCTCCTTTCACATCATCATTATCTTCATTGCCATCACCTTCACCATCACCATCGTCATCATCACCACCACCACCATCATCATCACCCAGCTTGCATCCGGCGGCTGGTGCGGTTTGTGATGGCGTGGGAGGAACCAGAACTCGCTCGTATTTCTATGCGTCGTTTTTTTTGTTGAAGTGGGCATTATTGAGGCTCTCTGGGAGCGTCTTGGGAGGCTCTTCTTGGGTTCTTCTTTGGGCGTCTTTGGAGACCCTTGGGGCCCCCTTGGACCGACTGGGGAAGTGTGGGTTTGGGCATTCTTGGGCCCCCTTCTGGATCGTCTGGGAGCGTTGGGCCGTCTTGTGCCCTTTTGGAGGCCATCAGGTGCTCTGTTGAAGCCCTCTTGAAACCTCTTTGACCGGGCTGGGGATGTGGTGGTCTCCCTTCTGGGGGCGTATTGGGGCTTTCTTGAGCGCCCCAGGTGACGTCTTGACCATCTCAAGCCGACAGGCGTTGGAGTCAAAGCACGTCGACATTGCCTGACTCTGAAGTCTTGACCTTCTCTTGGGACAACTGGATCCTCTCTTTGTATTTCCTTCCCAACCATCCTGTGGTGTTGGGTCCCCGTTTTGACGAGATAGTGCCCCGCGTTCCGCTCCTCTCCCCTTCCTTCTCCTCCTCCTCCTCTTCCTCCTCCTCCCCTTCCTCCTTTCACATCATCATTATCTTCATTGCCATCACCTTCACCATCACCATCGTCATCATCACCACCACCACCATCATCATCACCCAGCTTGCATCCGGCGGCTGGTGCGGTTTGTGATGGCGTGGGAGGCGGCCCCCCTCGCTGGAGGCCGCCGCTGGCGGCGATGTGTGCAGCCCGAGCGCGGCACGGCGGCACGGGCGCCGAGCTGGCCAGGCGTGGGCCGGGTTGTCGGGAGACGTGCTCGTCCACGACATGCAGCGGGCCGTGCGCTTCTGGCGGGGCCGCTACGAGAAGTGCGTGGAGTCGCGGGGGGACCCCGACACGGCGGCGCGCCTGGCGGTGGTGGCGGCGCATTTGAAGGACGTGGTGCGCGGCAAGGCCATCGAGTCGCCAGCCGACACGCTGCGGAGGCAGGAGGAACGTTGCGCTCCACGCGGCATTGGCGCCATGGCCGTTGGGGACGGCGACGGCGCGCTCGCTACGCCGAGCCCAGAAAACAAAAAAGGTCCCAGGCTTGTGGCGAGCCCCGCGCTATCGGCGGTTGGTCTCGCCGCAGGCGGGGTGAACGACGCGGTGCGCGACGGCGAGAACGGGGCGGAGCTGGACGGCCGCAGCGAGGCGGAGAAGAGTTGCGCGACCGACCCCTTGCTGGCGGTGCCGCCCGTCCCCTCGCTAGATCAGGAGCTCAGCGATCATGGCACGATCGCGACGCACGAGCTCGCGGAGAAGCAGGGCGCGGCTGGCATGCCATGGCAGTTGCGAGAAGGAGCTGGCAGTGAAGCGAAACCCGCACGTGATCAGCTACAGCTCGGAAGCCAGCGCGGCGCCAGCGTGGCGATGTGGAACGCCCGTGCTGAGATCGCCGCGGGGTGGCTAGCGGGCGGCCCCCGTGAGGGCGGCGCCCCGCCCGCGCGGAAATTGGCCGAGTCCCCGCCCGACTCGGCCATCCCGCGCGCGGGCGCGGGCGTCGCTGCCGCGGAAGCTAGTGCGAGGAGCAAAAAGGGGCGCTCGTGGGCGCGATCGAGCACGAGGAGGAGCACGGCGTGAAGGCGACGCGCGAGGGGGAGTTGACGGCGGCGGCGGCGCCCGCTTCGGAGGCGGACGGCGACTCCGACGCGCCCCCCCCCCCCTGCAAACTTGCGCGGTCGACCTCTGGGAGCGCTTGGAGGATGCCGCGCAGGGCATCGGGACCGCCGTGAGGTGGGATGGCGCTCGCGCGACCAAGCAAAGTATGGTCATGCTCCGCACCTCGCAGTTGGAGGTCCTGTACGTGGAGGCCCAGCGGGCGTTGGCCGACGCCGACGACGACGCAGACGAGCAGGAGGCCGAGCAGGAGCGTTTCGAGATTGGAGAGGCGCTCGCGTCGGCTTGGTATCACATTGACGCGCTTGTGTGCGGGCGCGCGCGCCATGGTGCCCTGTCCTCGCCGGCCCAGCGCGCCCGCGGGCGCGTGGGGGGGGGCGTCGGTCTGAGCAGCCTGTGGCGGCGAGCGTTCGCGGCGTTGCGACGGATCATTTCTGGAGAGCGCGATGATCGTCGTCATCATCATCAACGTCATCATCATCATCATCATCATCATCATCATCATCATCATCGTCATCATCATCATCATCCTCATCATCTTTTCCATCAGCATCACCATCATCGTCATCACTATCACCATCCGTAGCCATTTTGATTCAAGCTCTGACTCGAGGTCTGGCTGGGGCATGGCTCGAGCCACATTCTCTCGATGCCAAGGCTCCCGCGCACCCTGGCCCCGTCCGCCTTGGCGTTTGTGGGCGAGGGTCGCGGCGCCGCCTGAGCCCGGAAACCGGGGATGGGGCGGAGGGTCTTTCCGAAGGGCTTAGGCGACCCGTCCGCGTCCTCCTCCTTCTCCTCCCTCGTCCTCCTCCTCCTCCTCCTCCTCCTCCTCCTCGTTCTCCTCCTCCTCGTCCTCCTCCTCCTCCTCCTCCTCCTCCTCCTCTTCCTCTTCCTCCATCTCCTTCTCCCCACCCCTCCTCCACCTCCTCCTCGTCCTCGTCCCCCCCCCCCCTCCTCGCCCTCCCCTCTTCGGGTTGCTTACGGCCCGGGGGAAACCGTCCAGGATGGGGGCGAAGCTCAGAGGGTTGGACTCCGACGAGGATGGGGGCCCGAGGGACTACCGCGGCTACCGCGCGAACGGCGTGCTGTCGGGGTCGGACTCCGACACCAGCGACGTGGGGGTAGGGCGCCGCGCGAGGGGCGCCTGGCAATGGGCGGTTGCGTGTTTCTCGCGGCGGCCGGGGCGGCGCTGGCGCTGTGGCGCGCGGGGGCGCAGACGCGGACGCTTAGCGTGGGCGTGGGCGTGGCCGTGTGCATCGTGGGCCAGGTGTCGCGCCCGGAGGTACCCAGCAAGGTGCGGAACATCCTGGACCCCCTGGCCGCGTCCGAGCTCAACGTGGGTGTTTTCCTGCTGCTTGGGACCGGCAGGAGCATCCACAACAATCCGCAGACGGACCCTTCTTCCGACGACGGGAAATATGTCTGCGAGAACTCTTAGATAAATAAAGAGGAGAAGGCGAAGGCGGCGTTCGCGCCTTACTTTCAGGAAAGCAAGATCTTGTCTCATCATGACGAGCTGGCGAAAACCGACGAGCGCATCCTGTTGGAGAGGTGTCCCATAATGTACAAGTGGGCGTACCCCGGTAACGACGCTAGCAGGAATTCGCCACGGGCCCAGCACATCGTCAATGTCATGAACCAGATGAGGCACCAGAACGATTGCGCGGAACTCATCGAATCGCACGAAGCCAGGACCAGTGGCACGTACGACATCGAAGGTGCGAGACAATTTTATCGCCGTGCGACCAGTGGTGCCCGGGATGTTTTTGTAGGTCCCGGCGGTTACCATCAAGCATTGCTCTTATTGGTGGGGATTCCAAGGCAAAGTCATGGTTCCCCCCGCAGGCTTCTGAACAGGTCCATAGGTGCCACGTACTCGATCATGGAGGAAGTTGTGAACAGTGCCAAGCTAGATGATGGGCTGTAGCTCGATTCAGTGGCCATCGCCACGGAACAAGTCGTGAGGAACGTGCTTGCGATCCACGGTGTCTTCCAAGACCCGAGGGAGGTTGATCACACAGAGTTTATTGCAAACGCCACCACGCCCGATGAGGAGGAGGAGGAGGAGGAGGAGGAGGAGGAGGAGGAAGACGAGGGATGGAGGAGGAGGAAGAGGAGGACGAGGAGGAGGAGGAGGAGGAGGATTTTTTAACATCGACGAAAGTTGCCCAACGATACAACAAGGGGCTGGCGAGGCCTCCTTGAGGGTGGCGGCATGGCACAAGAGGAGGAGGAGGAGGAGGAGGAGGAGAAGGAGGAGGAAGAAGAGTATTTGCTTTTCGTGGACGGCCGGCGCCAGCCCAAAGCCGAGCCCGAAGGCACAGCTGGAGGGTGAAAAAAGGGGTTTGAAAACAGGCATACGTGCCGTCCATCCATTATCGTTCATGTGTGCGGGCGTTCTTGCATATCGCGCGTGGGGCGGCTAAGTGGAGTGCAAGTGTGTTTTGACTGTGCGATTGATGATCGCGTATGTTCCCAAACGGTAACTTGTCGACCCCCAAAGCAGATGTGGAATGGATCCCGCGATTCTCCCAAAACGTCAATTCACGTACTCATGTTTTCCAAAGTGTAAATTCACATTTTCGTTTTTCCCAGAATGTGGATTCACATTCTGGCCCCTTCATAAAAAAAACACCTTATGCATGTAAATTCACATTTTTTCAAAGTGTGAATTTACATTCTTTCCAAAACTTGAATCCACATGTTGCTTTCCCCCACAATGTGAATTCACATTTTGCCGTGGCCCTCAAGACCCCCCCAAGCTGAGGCGCAGCGTTCCGCATGTCAGACTAGCTGGGCACATGTTGACACTCCCCATCACCGCTTTCGTTTATTCCAGCCTTTTCTTTTTGCGCCCTCAGCGCGCGTAGCTTTCGTCGCCTTTCCCGAGCCCCCCGCCTCCTTGGTTCGTTCATCCTCGAGTCTCGCGCGGGTGCAGGCGGGGAGCTTCAATCGGTTCCCCCGCCGAACGCAGCAATCGACCGCCGAACGCAGCAATCGAGGATGTATCGCCCATGCGTGGCCGATGCAGACACCATTGCCGGGACCCTGCGCCCGACCCCTCCTTTCACCCTCCAACAAAGAGACAGGTGGTGCGTCGTGTCGCGGTGCAAGGATTGCTGGCCGGCCAGGCCCTGGGAGTTCGACCCCCCCAGCGTTGTCAGTGGGGCGATCGGCAAGCCTGCAGGCATCAGCAAGTTTTAGGTCGGGCCTGCTCTTCTACAGAAGGAATGTTCCAAATAATCTAAGAATAATATGGGGACGACGTTTTGAATATGTTTTGTCAATGTTTGAGTTTTATTTTTGACCATTACAGATTTTCCGCCCAAAATCTGCCTGTAGGGGGGCATGTCCGACCTAAAGCAAATTCCTTGGGAGCGTCACAGGCCAGTACGAATGTCCTTTCCAACTGCTCCAGTAATATCGTCATCACTATTACCATCGTCGTCGTCAGCATCCGCATTTCTCATCATCGTCATCATCAGCAGCATCATCATCACCATCATCAGCATCATCATAATCCCCGTTAGTATCATCATCATCATCATCATCCTTTCCGTCACATGATTGCCGTCATCATCATCCTCATCATCAGCAGCGTCATTTTTATCATTATTATCATCATCGAGTGTGGTCTTGGTCCCCCTCTCCCTCCGTCCGCCGTCATCATTATCGTCGTCGTCATCATCATCATCATCATCATTCGTCATCGCCGTAAACAGTATCATTGTCATCGCCGTTATCATCGCCATCATCAGTATCATTTTCGCCAGCATCACCATAGTCGTCGTCATCATCATCATCATCATCAGCATCATTGCCAGCATCATCATCATCATCAGCATCATCACCACCATCATCACCAGCAGCATTCTCATCATCGTCATCACCGCCAGCATCATCATTAACGTCATATTCATCATCATCATCATCATCATCATCATCATCATCATTATCATCATCTCCGTCATCCGCATCATCATCAACATCATCATCATTGCCGTCATCGTCGTCACCATCACAATCATTTCCATCATCATCAGCAACATCATGAGCATCATCATTACTATCACCAGCGTGATCGAATGTGGTGTCTGGGCCCGTTCCCCTCCTCCTGCCGTCATCATCACCATCAGCAGCACTATCATCATCATCATGCCCCGCCCGCCGGGTCCCCGGCTGGCGCGTGGAGGGCCGGCAGGCCGAGGTGCTGAGGCGCCTCCGCCGAGGACTGCACCCGAGCAAGAGTGGCAGGCTCGGCTCCCCGGTGCGGCTGCAAGCCTGTGGACGGGCGCGGAGCCGCTCCCGCGAGGGGCGGGGCGGGGGCGCGGCGGGCCGGGGCTGAGGCTTCGGCGCGGCGGCCGCGGCCGCGGGGCGGCTCCTGTGCAGCGCACGGTGCCCGCTGAGGGGGGATCATCATGGCCGACATCATTGTCATAACCGCCAGCATTGCCATCATCATCGTGATCTGCATCATCATCATCATCACCATCACCATCATCATCATCATCATCATCATCATCATCATCACCATCATCATCATCATCGCCATTGCGGACATCGGTATCAGCGTCATCATCATCATCATCGTCACCATCACCATCTTCAGTTTCATCTTCATCTCCATCTTCATCGTCATCACCATCACCATCACCACCATCATCATCATCATCACCATCACCATCACCATCATCATCATCATCATCATCATCATCATCACCACCATCAGCTTCGGCTCACCCCTCACACAGTTCATGGCCCCATACGGAGCTTCGCGACGGCCCAGGTGGCAGGGTTGGTATGGCGGCCCCGCCCAAAGTCGGCACACCCCTCACACACTTCGTGGTCCGATGGGGAGCTCCACCGAAAACTATATTCATAATGCTGTACCCACAATCGCATATGGTTGGGCCCTTCGCCAGGACAAATGTAAACGCCTTCCCATTTTCGTTTAGAGTTTAACCAACACGCTTTAAAATCGGCACCCCTGAAAGTGGGCGTGAGGCGGGCGGCGTTGTGCATTCGAAGCAGTGGTTTCTGCCGCTGCCGGCAGGGGGGGTCCGAGTCCCCCTCCAAAATCGGGGGGCGGTGCCCAAGTTCCGACCTCCCCCCCCCGGGAAAATGGTTCGGGGTGGTCCAGAACCCCCTCCCCACCTTCTCTTACGTTGCATCTTCGGGGGAGCTCGCTTGCCCCCAAGATGGGTGTCTTTTCTTGTGCCCAACGCGGGTTCGGTGCGGACCCGATGCGGATTTGGCGTGGATCCTACGAGGATTCGACACGGATTCGACATGGATCCGACGAGACCGACATGGATCCGATACGGATTCGACGCGGATAGGGCCGCGACGGGACAGACAAGGTGCCCTGAGAACGTTGGGGCCGTTTTGCGGAGCTCCGCATGGGGCCACGAAACGTGTGAGGGGTGTGCCGACATGGGGCGGGGCCGCCACGCGAACCTTGCCACTGCGGCCTTCTGCCGGGCTCCCTTTGGGGGCCATGAAACCTGTGAGGGGTGTGCCAAAATGGGGCGAGACCGCCTTGCGAACCCTGCCACTGGGGCCTTCGGTGGCGCTCCATTTGGGGCCATGAAATGTGTGAGGGGTGTGCCGAAATGGGGCGGTCCGCGATGCAATCCTTGCCCCTGAGGCCCTCGGAGCAGCTCCTATGAGGCCCCGAAACGTGTGAGGGGTGTGCCGGATTGGGGCGTGGCCACCCTGCGAACTCTGCCACATAGGCCTGTTTGTGGAGCTCCCTATGGGGCCACGAAACATGTGAGGGTTGTGCCGAGTTGGGGCGGGGCCGCCCTGCGAACTCTGGCACAAGGGCCTTTTTGTGGAGCTCCGTGTGGGGGCCACGAAACGTGTGAGGGGTGTGCCGAAGCTTATGG